TATAATAATTCTTGTATGTTCGTGTTTGTTTGTGTGTGTTATTACTATTATTTCCAATATTGTTGTTGTTGTTGTTGGTTATTGTTATCATTATTGATTTCATTATTATCACTGTCATTGTCATTTTTTAAATTATTACCATTTATATCATCATCATCATCATCATCAATCATTATCATTATCATCATTATCATTATCATAATCATAATCATTATCATCATCATCATCAAAATTATCAATATCATTATTGGTATTACTTTTTAAATTATTAAAAAAATGTGCGCAGAGCATTGTCATAACATGTTTTGATATGTGTCTCGTGTTACATTTCTTCCTTTGTCATATCAAAGAAATGTAAGATCGAGAGCGTCGCGTCTTTCTAGTCGAGACACAAACATCATTATAAATTTCCGTCAAAGTTGTTTCATAATTCTGTTTCAACGAAATGAGAGAGAGAGAGAGAGAGAGAGAGAGAGAGAGAGAGAGAGAGAGAGAGAGAGAGAGAGAAGAGAAGAGAGAGAGAGAGAGAGCGAGAAGAGAGAGGAGAGAGAAAGAGAGAAGAGAGAGAAGAGAGCGAGAGAGAGAGATTGAGAATGTCAGTAGAGAAAATACGGCGACCTAGTTTAGAATGAAAACTCATTCACTTGATTTTCTCTTTTCTTTGCTTCCGTTTTACTTATTTTCCCTTCTTTCTTTCCTTTCTATGTCTACTTTTTACATCTGTATCTTTCTTTTTTTATTAGTTATGATTCTTTTTGCTTTGTCTAGCATATATATATTTTATTTTATTTTCTTTCTCCTTCACATCCTTCTTCTTTTTTAATTATTCATTCCCTCTTCTCCCACTTCCCTTACTTCCTTTTCTCTCCGGCTTCCCCTCCCTGCCTCAGTTTCCATTCCACTCAGAAACGCATTTCAAAATTAGCTAATAAGTAAGTATTTTGGCTGCCACCCCGTGACATTATCGCCCCGAACAGCTGGGAGCATAGTAATGTGCTTAGCTCATTAGCATCATGGTGTGTATTTAAGGGAACATTAAAGTTAGACGTAGGTATGGGTGAAATAATTTTGGTAATTTTTTTTTCTCAAAAATAAAAGGAAATGCAGAACATAAATAGCAATATCATGCAAGACGAGTCAAAACAGAAAACGCTTTTTGTACACTGACATGCACAGGCATATCTATGACTAGAACGGGCAATGAGCATTTAAATAAACATGGATATAGTGCATATGCCATAGGGATTTAAAGCACGAGACCCTTAACCTACCCCAGTTATCTAAAGATGCGGTTCAACTGGTCTTGTGTACGTGAAGGACCTGACTTGTGTCCGAGGCACACGACTCTAGCTTGAATAACACCGCGCGTAATACTTCTCTTTTGAGCAATATGGAGCACAAGAACTTACTCCCCGTGTCACCATAGTTTCACGTTTCATGGCGTACATTTATTATTATTTTTTTAAAGAAAGAAGCATGGAAACCGATTTATAGATTGAATATCATTACGCTAGTCTAATGGGCCGTCGACGCGAGTGTAGATTCTCAGTTTTGAATTAGCTTTTTCATGTTTATTTGTTTTTGATAATAAAAACACGATTTCTGTGATTATTAACTTTTAATTGATTCATATAAAATCTGAAATATAACTTGTTGACATTATTGATCATCTCTTAAAACGAATTATTACCATTATTACATTAATGTTACTGTTATTGCCATTACTACAATTGTTATTGTTATTATCATATTAGTAATAAACATCCTTAGGGCGGTCCCAAACTCTGCAACCAACCATTGCACAATTACAGGGCATTCCGGCTTTGCGCGCGCCAGTCAGTCAAACGAGCGAACACGGGAGAGAAAGGGAGATCCTTACGGCTCTACATTACATCCGAGAATGACCACACGAGTAGCGTTGAACCTCCAGGCTTATACAACGCGTGACGTCATGTGCGAGACGGACGAATTTGAGTCGCTTAGTGACGAGACATGAGCTTATATAGACCTTGATCGCTGGCTTCCCCCAAAGTTCGCGATTCGGCCCAGAGAGCCGCGCTTACGGCCAGACCTGCGCGTACACAAGACCAGTTGAACCGCGCCTTGACCATACGTTGCACGACGCTGTGCGAAGGCAGAGCATGAGTTGCAACCACAACGGACCTGTGCAAGGGAATTTAAATATCACTGATTTTATGTTACTTCTCAAGCACTTATCCCTACCATACCCTTATGTATGACTGGCAACGCTAGGACGCCGAGTAATTATTTCATACAAGCGTAGCAGTGTCGGAGCAAAAGCTACTATAGCCTACAATATGAACCATTGTCCACAAAGGGGAGGAGCTGTCCAGCGAGAGCACGCAGGGCCTTGGACCACTAACTTCAAAAGCATAATGGCGACGGTCAATTAGAATGTTAAAAGAGAGAGAGGGTCGTTTGCCCAGTACTCATTACCGTGGTTCTGCAACGGTACACAGGTTCAGGGCGGGGTCGTGGCATGGAACGTGGCATGATTTTTATGCCCCTAAAAGTGAGGACGATGCTCATCTTTATTCAAGGATCCCGCTGCAACTCCGGGTATCCTTGAGGGACCCTTGGCCGGGAGGACCAAAGGGGGAAGTGAGAAGCTGCGTCGTAATGAACCTTAATAAGTTGATTGGCAGACCAAATAACTATAATTAGCGATAATCAGGATCTCCAGGGACAAAGTTCAAAAGCTCGTGAGGAGACTTGACGAGCGCGTCTGAAGGCAAACTCTGAGTAACCGTCAGAAGGATGTGTGTGTGTGAGTGTTATACAACACATATATATATATATATGTATATATATATATATATATATATATATATGATATTATAATTATTATATTATTATATTATAATATATATATATATATATTATATATATAATATATATAATATATATATATATATATATAATTTATATTATATTATATATACATATATATATTATATATATATATATAATATATATATTATATATACACAACATAATTACACACATATATATATATATGTATTATGTATATATATATATATATATATTATATATATATATATATATTATATATATATACACACAAAACACACAAACACACACACCACATACACACATATTTATGCACACATGTATATATGTACACACCACACACACACACACACACACACACACACACACACACACACACACACACACATATATATAATATATATA